GGCGATGGAATAGTACCTGTAAAAAATGGGAAGTATTGGCCACACCTGATCAATGTTATAGTGCATCAACTTTCAATCTTTTTCTCAACATCATCGCAGCCCGTAAGCAAGCTTCAAAACTCCCTTAGAGTATGTTCCTATACTAGCAGTATTTTGCAGCAGTAAATTTCGAATACATCTAAGCATGTTTGTCTGATAGTCTGTCCACTTGTCCGTGCGCCCAGCTAATTATCTAAATAGGACACGCCAATAAGGCAGCATGAATTCAAAATATCTTTGCTGGCCGTGATTTTTGCTCATTGCTCATACAACCTATAATGGACAAAGATTCCCACTTTTATTCTATAAAAATGGGTCACACCCAGCCAATGTTATAAACTATGAAAATTACGATTTTTCGTTTTTTTTTTTTTTCTTAGAGCTTAAAAAATTTGGTCGCACTTTACATTGCTTGGCCTGAAAAAAAAAAAAAAAACCGAAAACTGAATGGTATAAGCAACTTCCGCGTAGAAAATAATTGCAATTTGAAATTTGCTTTTGCTAAAAGGCGCTTCGTCAACGTTGGCAGAATATATCAAGCATACAATCGATTAAAGCATTCGTCGTACATTCAAGACAACGGCAGCAAAGGTGAATTTTACAAAGCAAACATACGGACACATCAAGCAATTTAAAGCGAATATTTCTTGCCAAAGTAAATAACAACTGAAAAGCTTTGCTTTGTTAAAAACGCCCGAGAGTCGTACAATTTACCGCATTCTTGCGGGTACATTATCAAAAGAGCTGTTACCATAAAAGGAGTTAAATATTTTCAATTGACATCGATTTTTACAAAAACATGCAGAGAACATTTTTGCGGCAACTAAGGCAGTGATGGAATGAATGAAATTGATACACGTTAACACAAAAATGTTAGTAGCATTTCCCTTATTGGTCGCTTTACGAGTGGCTATTAAGCCATACGTAGGAAAGGCGACAATACACAGAAATTTACAAAATATATATATATATATATATATACATATATATGTATATATATAATATTTCTTGATTTTAACGAAAGCAATTGAGTTTTGAAAATCGTTTAGAAATCCTTAAAAAGAATTCTCTATATTTACCTAGTGACTTTTTGGCTAAGGCGATACTTTTTGCTGCAGAAGTTTGTCTAAATTATAAAAAAACTATGTTTACGTAAGAAAAACACTAAGAATTTTTATGCTTAACTACCAGAAATCGGTTGGGAAGAAAACGCGATTAAATAAATTCGATACACCGATGCGTAGTATAGTGGATAGCTCGTAAGCGATAGCTTGTCTCAGCCTCATCTTCGTCCTCATTTGAGTATCTTGAAGAGAATAGTATGTTGCATTTATTCTCTATGCTACAAGATACTTCGGTGAACTATATAATATCCTCAAAATTACTCCTCGTCAATTATAAGATTGAATTACTCCCTTGGCATATTCGTTTTGCAATAGTTTTTCACAGGTCTTCACTAGTTGACTTCATCAAACGAATCTTCGCGAGCTACTGCCAGAACTTTTTTTGTTTTAAGGATTATTAAAAAAAATGAAAATTTTTTTGAAAAAAGGTATTCTAAACAAAAAAGAAACAACAATTAACTCGTCACGACTTTCACAAGATGTAATGTAGAATCAGGATAAAGTCAAATTTTGTAATTTCAATAAGAAAAGGAGAATAGCTTGGGTCGATGTAGTAATAGTACGCATTATATTTTCAATTTCATTACATTATTAAGCCAAGACCTCTTAAGATGCGGTATAGTGCTCTTAAAATTTAAAAAGTGTCGCATTGGAAGCTGACAGAAAATATCATCTTCAAAGTAATTACTGTCAGATCTCTTAAAGTGTGAGTGAGTTTTCGACAAACTGATAATCTAGACTAGAGCTATTGTTCTAATCACAGTAATAAGGATTGCGTATACGTGCTTTAGGGAGCTCGGAAACCGCATTGTAATGCGTTTGGAAAAATTTTGGAAAAATAATTAAAAAGTTATCATGGGTCATCCAGGATTCGAGACGAGATGAAGGCAAACTTTACATTAATGTGTACTATTAACATTTTGTTTAGCGATGGAGAACTCTTTGAAAAGCGACATAAACGTCTTACAGTATGTATGTATATGAGAAAAAAAGTAAAACGTTTTGTAAGAAAACATTTAACTCCGGCGATCTGTTATTGAAAGTGATGCTGTTAAAACGGTGAAGAAGGATGTTGTTTCTTATAATGCACACATACATGCAACAGAAACGCACATTTCCTTAAATTCAAGGTCAACATCTTCTTGTGTAAGCACTTCTCATTAATGTTTTCCTTTTCAGTTCAACCTCACACATACAATAAAGCGTAAAGACATTGAGAAGAGCTATCGCAATCCAATTGGGCTAAAGCGAAGAAAGAAAGAAAAAATCAATCGCTATTCGTACTATTTTATCAGAATTAGACGCACTATTGTCCTCAGCAAATCCTCTTTGTAACAAGAGCTCAGCAATTATATACAGAGTGGAAAAAAGTGAACTTTTCGTGAACAACTTTAAGTGTCTGGTAATCATGATGACGATGATTGCAAATATATACATATATATATATATATATATATATGTGGCAACATGTGTATACGTATAAACAAAGAAAACGAGATGCATTCAAAGGCGTCTATATAAACACTGGAAGAGAATCCTAAACTAAAAGAAAGAAAAAAAAGGAAAAAATAAAAGCAGACAAAATTACACAACGACAACAGCTTCCTTCCCTTCTATCTTCACTAAACACAATCATAAAATTTAAATGCTCGAATATAAGTGCATATAAGTATGCATTCATTTGTGTACATGTGTGCCCATATGTATCATGTGTGTATACATGCGTCATTGCATTTGCACTTAACTCGATTCCAGGCAAGAAGATTTGTTTATATTTTTATAAGATTATGTTTTTGTATTTGTTTGTTTTTTATACATACATTCGCACAAGTCGATGGAATCGGCAGATCAACAGCAGCAGCCGCAACATTGAAAAAAATCAAGTTTTATTGAAGAGGAAGCAAAAAACAAAAAAAAAAAAAATAAAAAAAAATAAGAAAAAGAAAAGCACTCAAGAAGAGACATTTAACAGGAAAGGGAGCAATTTATACAGCAGAATCTTAAAAGATAAACAATCCTGGCCAGTCTTGTTAGCGAGCGGTAAACCGCAACTTCATTGAGTAGCAAACATTATTCTACCTCGTATTCTTTTAGTTTAGCGGAGTTAGTCTAATTCAAGGCCTTACATGGAATTCTATTCTTAATAGCTTTTTTATCTGGACCATAATTTAATAGCGGCGTATGGTCGCGAAGCTTGAGAAAAAATTTCAATAATTTTTCGTTAAGAACTAAGGAATAGCACAAGACAGAAGTTATGTTTGCTTTTTACCTGCTTTTAATACCTGCCGTTATCATAAATTGAGAACAGGGAACTACAATTTTTATCTCGGGCATGTTTCGACCTTAGACCATTTCTAGATCATTGCAGGGTATATCAAATTTGTACGGACGTATAGCGTTTTATTTTGGAAAGTCTGTATATGAATAACTGTAGGGTGATATGGGGTATTTAATGGTGGGCCGTGACAAACTAGAAGGTTTTTACGTGTTTAAATGACCATTAAAAGCATTATAAGAAATGGCTTTTTCTTTTAATTAAATATTGAGTTAAGTAAACTTTTACCAATAAATTGTGCTCAGTATTTTGGTTATTATTCCAATTGTCTTATATATACTCCTTAAACGGCCATAGCTTACGAAATAGCTTCTCGAAATAATTTCAATACAAGAAGACCTCTTAATTTTAATAAAAGAAGAACGATTTCACTGAACCTTCCACACACATTTCTATATATTGACGCCATCATTCATCGATCTCGAAGAACCAACGAACAGTAAAAACTTATCATTCTAGGGAATCTGTTGGTTTTATCACAAACAGGCTTAATCCAGCCCTCTCAAAAACAATAATAAATAAATAAAATAAAATGGTCTCAAAGCAGAGCAAAGATTTCTCTGGAACCATAGGTTTATTTGGCTGCAGATTTCCTGGGTATAATAAACAGTGCAACTCTAACATAAGAGAGTGTTGAACTGGTGTGTGCACTATCAAGCGGCAACTTCATTCTCTTCATCACTTCTTTCAAATCTGTCTCTAAAATATGATAATAAAAAGGTCCAAGGTATAAAACTTTTCAGTTGCTTTTAGTTAATGCTTCACTGCGGGCTTCTGCTCCGAACAATTTGGCCCATTTTCAATAGCGTCGTGCATGCAAAAACTTCTAATGTTTCTAACATATCATTATTTATCTCCATATCTTTATTTATTGTTGCGATCAGAAGAGTGCCAAAAACAAACTCAAACAAATAAACGGACAGACATTGCTTAATCAGGTTTACTTAAGCTTCCTTTTGGGTGTAACATACATTATGAAAAAAAAAAAAGAAGCAAAATGAGTCAACCCCCATCCGTCAATACGTATGGTGGGTGTAATAAAACATTTTTTTTTAATGTCATTTTTTTATTCTGCATTTTGTATACTTGAAATTTTATATCCGGGAAATCTCTTTGGGTTTACAAATACATTATTAAGTAGATGGATTTTATCGATTTGAATATCTTTTCAGATTTCCGTAGATTTTTAAAATATATTATTTAAATGGTATATAATATTTTTTAAATATCTTTTCTTCTTTATTAAAATTAATGTCTTTTTCTAGAAAAACCAAAAAAAAAAAAATTTGCTTATAATTAACGGCAAGAGGTGTTTGGTTATGGAAAATGTAAAAAATATTTAAAATATATAAGATAGGTAAGGTGGTAGGAATGCGCGTTTACGTATGTTCTCATCCACGCAATATTTCTCTTCTACAGTAAAACAAGATAAGAAAAAAAAAAAAAAAAAAAAAAGAACAACTAACACAATAAAGATATGTTTCCGCTTTCATTGCCGGCCAGAAAGGCTCTATTTAAAGGCAATGCAGCCAAGGATGTTAGCACACCTCTAAAGTTTTCCGAACGCAACTTAGTAACCGTATGGATAGCATGCGAATTGCTAAGGTCAGAATAAATGCCTATGCGATTGCCGGTAGTCGCATAAACCAATTCGGAGCCGATCGTTTGTAGGTAATGGGCTGGTTCTGGAGGTGGACTAAATTCATGGAATAACATTTGTTTAAGATTAAGTAAAATTTTTTTAAGATTTATTTTTATACATACGCTAACTGATAGTGCAAGATCCCATCATTAGCATGCCATACCGCTAAACTATGATCCAGAGCAGAACTTATTAATTGCTGGTCATTAGGCGCCGATAATTGCAATAAATCACATTCCATAGGACGCCAACTATTCATTAGAATTCCAGTGCGAGTATCTAACATAACAATACTGCCTGTGGATAAGCCCACAGCCAACCAATTACTCGAAGGAGCTACGGTCAGACATCGCACCGTTGCATTGAATTGTGTATATGGACTAAGCCGCCATTCGTTGACATATTGCATGCAACGCGAATCGATAATTTTCACAGAAGCCTCCGCTGTACCTGCCACCACCAGGGGCGAAGGAGATGGCAAGCATTTGACGACTGTTATAGCATTATGTTTCGGATTGTCTAAAATTCCCAATGGTCTTCCGATAAAAGGATCCCACATATGTACACCTGAATCACACGAAACCACAAAACGTGCAGACTCCAGAAACGTCAAAGAATGTATCGATTTTCTATGTGCTGTGTAAGTAAATTGGCACGAAGTAGTTTTGCTGCCATCGCCTTCACTCCGCAAAGACCACAGCTTAACTGTTTTATCCTGTAAATGCTGAACTATAAGATTGATCATTTTAAAAGTTTTTAACATACTAAAGTATACGAATCACTGCCTACTAAGTGATTCGTATACTGCGGTCTTTGGTAGTTGTCACAACGAAGGTTTCAATTAATCTTTTCGGTATATCTCTTTCTCTCATATGAAGTTTTCCATTTACAAAAAAAACGTGGAACATAGTAAACATAGTTGTTATAAATTTTAATACAGATGTTACATACCTTCGAAGCCGATATGAAACTGTTTTCATTATCTAAAACCAATAGGGCTCGTACTGAGTTCGTATGACCCACAAATGATTGCAATTTGATTTGCTTCAGATTCAGATTAGTGTCCTTGTCGGATCTAGTAATCTCATGTCGCCAATAGGCCAACCAATTGCCTTTTAAATAACGTGTTGTCGGCAAGTGTTCTAACTTGTAAGTAACCATATCCAATGCTTCCAATGAGTCTATATGTTGAGGTGTCTCCTTGACTTTCGCGTTAGCTACCTCTAAACGATTGCCAATTACTTGAGTGCCAAAACTATTAGCAACTGACATCTCCTGTGCTAACTCGGACCTTCTGTCGATTGGTGAGTCAACCGCATCACCACTCGCTGAAAAGTTTATATCGCAAGATTTGTAATGTGGTTGTTCAAATTCATGACACAGGGTTACAATAAATTCAAAATTTAATAAGCTTCGCCTCATTGTTTCATCTCCCAGAAATCGTAAAAATGCCAGATAAGCGCTATGAGCTAAAGCAGTGCAAAAGACATCTCGTAACTCTTCTATTTCACGTCTATGATGTTGCAGATCTTCAGCTGAGCCATCTCGTCCGTACGCTTTATCGAAAATTTGGAAAAACGGTTGTAATACGCTGACACATAAGTGCTCCCGAGTCATATCGGAGCCGATGCGCACACATAGAACGTAAACGGCATCAATTAGTTTGCGAGCCAACACTGAACGTCCCAAATAACCGCTTGGCATGAGGACATTTGTAGAATTCAAAAAATTCAGCACCGGTAATATTATTGCATTCAAGAAAACATCCTAAAAAAACCAAAGAAAAGCTTAGTACTTCCAGTGATAAGTTATACTCAACCTTTACAACCTTTAAATGCTCCATGATGGTAGTGTCCGTTAAGCAAGGGATTAAATACTTTAATAATTGAAGGGTACTTATGATAGCACCCTCCAAACTTGTAGTTATACGTTTTGTACCCGTAGCTATTAATTCGCTTATGTGTGGAAAATATTGCAATAGAATGACTTGTTCACCGTACAGAGCCGTAATCGACATAAGACATTCTAAGACCCGAATAGCACTATGATCGCCCACAACACGAGCATCGGAAACGGTAAAGTAATTCAAGTTATTAAACTCGGCAGAAGCACCGCTTTCAGGTAACAGATTTTCCTGACCCACATAGCAAAGGGTTAGCATTTTTAAGAGATTTTTGGTAATAAAACGGCAGGTCAAAACCGGGCCTAAACGGTGCGACAACCATACGAGACTTTCGGCACTCATTTCAGCGATCCGATTATTTTGTAAAGCTTTCACTTCGGACATTTTGGATATAACTGAAGCTTGCAAAGAGTCGCAGCCATCTGTTACATCTCCTTCGCCTTCGAGATTTGTGTCCGCTTTGTTTCCTCCCTCGCCCAAGGAGTTTCGATTGCGTCTTTGCGCCTCACTAAATTCTTCTTCCTCGTCCACTGCCTGTTGCATAATCTCGAAGGAATCAATACTTTTTCGCGAACCTATATCGCAATCTATGGTATTAAGTTGGTAAGATCTTCTAAAGATATTGGCCGGTATAGCCACGGTGGGTGATCGTGGTCCTAATTGTGTGGCTATTGCAGTCGTCTCGCCAACATTTTGTCCGCTTAATGATATTTTATCGGTCTCTTCAAGCGAATTATTAGAAATTTTTGAGCCATAAATAATTTCAGAGATAGCTAGTTTCTCAGGCGTGCTTTCATCCTCCTCTTTGGCTTCTTCGGCAGTGGTAGGTCTCATATCTAAAGAATCTAATGATTTATTGGAAATATGATCCGAGGCAGAAATATGGGCATCTGAATTGACATCGTCATCGAAACTGAATACATCTTCGATGTCGTGTTTAGAATCTTCACCCTCCTCTGATAACGTATTGTCATCAAACTGTTGTTCGGCTTTTTCCGCAGATTTTAACGTGTCCGAACATCCTTCCTGCCTGTCAATATTGACTATTGAAAGACTTAAATTTCTGCTTGTTCTGCGTCCATTTAATATACTATGATAATGCAGCCCATTGCCATCTTCTGGTTCTTTATAACCACCGACAGCCTCTATGAGAGGAGCAATGAAATTTTGTAGAAAACACTTTAAACCAAAGCGTACAATGAGTCTTAGCAGGAAACTGTGATGATACAATTTCACGGATTTACGCGACTTAAAGGAACTGCTAGTAGAAAATCTCAGCTGAGCATTTGCATCCGTCAAAGTTTCGTTTGAGGCACGATTGCGTACAGAAGTCATGCCACGCTCGAAACTTTCCACATCATATAATTTCATAACCGGCTGTAACAGTTGCTTCTGCGTTACTTTCGTTCCCAAAGCTTGCGCTACGGAATCGAAAAGATTCCAAGCTGTTAATATAGAAGTATGCTCATTGCATAGGAGTTCTATAATGTGAGGTAATAATATGTCCACAGGAACAAATTGTTCGTAAGCCGTGGGTTCAAGTAAACTGCCAATATGAGCGCAGCATGACATAACTTTGCATTCGGCAATTTTCCGTTCAAAAAGAACTCTAGTACAGTCGATATCTTTATATTGGGAGCACTGCAAACCATTGCAATGAAAGTGAGTATACAGTTCGAGTAAAGTTGAAGCGATATCAAAAGAGCGCAGAGACTGCAAAAGTGCGTAGCAAGCATAGTAATTAGTTGGAAATGGTATCAAGATATTATAGTAAATAGGCTGTAAAATTTGGTCGGCTGTTGGAAGAGGTAAGCCTTCCTTTGTAACCAATTCTTTATCATTAAAATTCAGCAGTAAAGAGGTGATGTAACGCAAGCATTTGGGAATGTCTTGTTGGTGGAGACTTTTAATGGTTTGGCAAGCTTTCAAGCGTTCCTCAAATTTAGCTGGAAAATTTGGACTCAATAATGGGCGTAGTCGTGCCATGGCAAACAGTTCGATTATCAAACATCCCAAAATCCTAAGATCCTTAATGTGATTCTCTTGCAGTTGTGAATAAAACGAATTCCTCAAAGATCTGCTAGCTAGATTCGCTTTCAGTTTTGTTTTGTTTCCAATTAACTCGGCTGGGGAAAAATCATTGAATAATTGATTCGTAAAACTGTGATCATCTGAACAATCTTCAAATAATAAATCGCTACCGAATAATTTCTCTCTAGCATTTTCCGTTCGTTTCTGTAAAGGAAACGTTTTATTAATAAATGTTTGCGTGCTCTCTATCGATTGCAATAACGCAACCGGATTATAACTTTTAGGTAATTCTATAAAATTGGTGCACATATAAAAGTTTGAAGTTTTGTTAGCCTCTTCCTGAGCACTTGGTGGATGGGTTTTGAGAGATAGGCGCGGAGAATTACCACCAACGGAACGTGTGCAGTGCGTTTCAACTTTATCTAAGGAATCCGAGGACTGATGCAAATTTTCTGAACTTCTTGCTAAGCGCTTGCTGTCGTCAGGTAAATGTTTTCCGCATATTTTTGACGGAGTTCTTTCGGTTGTACGTAGGGATTGCGGTAAGATATTTTGTATTCTCGGTGCCTGTCGAGAAAACCAAGGATTCGGCACTTGTTTCGCGGGATGCGGTTGAGAAAAAAGTTGAACTATTCCTTGACGGCAAATGTTTTTATGCTGATCTACCATACTGAGGCAAACATTTTTTGATTTAATGGCAGCCTTACCGGAGAGTTTATAACCAAAATTTAAATCAATCCAATGCTGCAAACGTTCATTAACGTATTGAGATTCTAAAGCTTCTCGATGCTTGCAAATGAAATCCTCTGGACAAGAAGCCCAGCTGGGTAGCTCAAGATCAGCTAAGTCTTCATGTATACTTTTGAAAATCATTGGATCTGAATAAAACTCTGGTATGCACTCGTCCGGCGTCCATTCTTGAAGACGTTGTATAGAAACGGGGTATTCAGCCGGTACCCAAATGGGTCGTACATGTTCACGCAGGATATGCTGAGGAGTGCGGCGAGCCATATAAACGAAATAAGTGATTTCGGAAAGAAAATCGGAGACATGATGAGGTACTTGCTGCGGCGTAGTGTGAAGTTGATCTTTCTCTTGTACACTAAACTGACTGCAATGAGCATGGGAGAACATCAGATCTAAATGGATATCACCTTTATTCAAGCGATATTTTGATTTACTAAGATCGCGCCAATTACCATTACGTGTGGTAAAATCGGTTACCCATGGCATTATATGATGATAGGATGGATTCTTCATAGATCTTCCGGCAGCATTATTTAAAATCGTAAGATAATCATAATTCGACATTTGACCATTGCACCACATTTCGCAGTAATCTCTCAGCGAGAATTGACCCAAGTCGTAAGCAAATTTCAAATCCACTTTCAGGTCTAAATATTCCTCATGTTCTTCGTCCAAATCAATCATACATTTCTGATCCATTTCCAAATCATTGAATGCGTCACTGGTACAATGAGTGGCATCCTCAGGCGGTGAGTATATTAAAATATTGGATTCAAGTGGAGGAATAACTATAACCCATAGATTATCGGCAACAAGAATATCTTGCAGAGACAAATCACCTAACAGCAAGCCTCGTCGATGCATAGCTCTGGTCAATTGAAAAATCTGATATATGATAAACAATGATTGATTATAATTTTTGCTTAAAATCGCTGGGCTATAAGTAATGCAATCATATAAACTAGTCGCTACACAGGGAGGATAAAAGAAAATTGCAAAATGAGACGAAGTTTCAATTGCTATCAAGGCAGGCATTATATTGGAATGGGTGTTGGGTCTATGTTCCTCTGCTGATGGCGGTAATGTAAAGTCGTCCTTTTCACGATCAAGCTGGCTATGTATTATCGGACATCTGAATACGATTTGTATAAGTTCTCTTAGAACTTTGTCGTAACCAAGTAATTCTGTAGTAGGACTTTTATTTGATTTTTGATTGCGGTTTCCGCTTGGTAAATGAGTTCCTGCGAAGTTTTTGTAATTATATTCCCATGCATTTCGAAAATTCGTTTGCGTTATATCAAACACCGCTTGGGAGTAAGTTAGTGGCAGAGTGCTGCCAAAATCATCCTCTAAGCCCACAAACTCTCCATTACTACGTGGCAAAGGAAAAACTTTGGTTTGAGTTTGCTTTTTGTAGATTTGAACTAAAATTTTAGTCCACGGATGCTCAAGCATGCCCTCCGGATGTGCTCTTCTATCCAATCGCGGATAAACCGGAAATGTCGAAATTTTTCTTTTCCTTTCCAAGGTCTGCAACCACTGTTTATCGCAGATCAGCTGATAACGTTGCTCGACTGAAGTGTCAGCTACATGTTGCAAATTAATACCAATCTCAGAACAAATGTTTTCCATATTATCACCCTTTTCGAAATCTTTTATTGTGATCAAATTAAGAATTTTTGTTAAATTAATTTTAATTTCATGTTAACCGAACGATTTTAAATCATTTGGGATATTTTTATCACTTGGCGTTCTGGGGGTGTTGCGATACTGCGTTGCTGATGTTGTACGCCGTGGTTTGTATTTAAAAACCGCTGACTTACTTCATTTTGTTAGTTCTTCACACAATTTCTTTAAAAAATTGCGGTTTTAATTAATGTATTTAATGTTTTGCACGACATAAAAAAGAGTTATTTAATTTTCACTTGCAAAAGGTGCATTATTATTAAATACTGCTCTCTTTCTTCTTGAAGATAGCACGCTACTCTCGGCTGAATGCATGGTTCAGTGCATATGGCGAAGATGATGAAGTTTTAAGATTTGATAGATTATAGTGTAATTATTTGGGTTACATAGCATGATTGTATTTTCTATTTTTCAACTAGTTTTTCGAAAAATGTTTTGACTTCCACTCAGTTTAATTTATTTAAACGTTCCGCTTCAGATACAAATCATACGCAACAAAGACTTAACTACACTTTCTTATTATTTATACTGTTGGAATAATGTAAACAAGACTCTTTTGCTCTCATTTGAGTTATTATTGAATAAAATCATTGCCAGATCAAATTATTCTTTAAATAAATTAAAAATTGCTATTGAAGATTGATAGAAAATACTGAAAACGCTAAAAGTAAGCGAAAAAGATATAAAAAGAAAAATTTGTAGAAAAACTTTATTGTTTTTCAAACAAAATATAAAAAAAGTTTCGATTTTGCAGTTTATTATTTAATAAGTGGCGCTAAAAAAGCGCTAGTTTTATTCCACTACTTTGAGATCCTTTGACCTTGTATTAACATCACTTTATTTCTATAGAAAACGCATTACATTAAAAGTATCATTAATCTGAATACGCAAATTTTTCAACAGAACAAAACTCGCCTATAAATAAACCAAAGTTCTTTCGCGACTATACATATTTTTTGTGTAATGACAGAACTTCGTTCGAAAGTTGTTCAACTTTATAAACATGTAAGTGGAATGGCGATGGAGTGGATTACATTACGCTATTGATTTTTCTTCATTTTAGTTAATATATTTAGGAAGGGAATATCCTGGAACTAATGGTCCAGAAAAATTTCGTCAGCAAGTGCGCGACGCTTTTCTGAAAAATAAGAGCGAGACAGATCCAAGAAAAATTAAAGCTCTCTTAGCTCAAGGACGTTATGTGGCCAAAGAAGTGGAAACGCTTTATTATTTAAAGAAATACCGAGCAATAAAACAACGTTATACCCAAGAATAACTTGCTATACATTAAGTAATTGACTAATGTAATGGATAAGACTAAATGTAATCGAAAAGCATGTTTTTTTTTTTTTTATTATATTAGTTATTAGTTATTTAATCCTTGAATAGATTTAGCAAAATACAAAGAAGAAAAATAGATGTATAACGGTATAGATTTTTAATAAAAGAAAAACTTCTCGTTATGCAATAAACTTTAAATTTATCCATACATATAAAACGCAATAAGATGCATTCGCTTTTCATCTTTGGATACAGTATTGTTTACATTCATTGTTCAACCGCCGAGATAATGCGCTCTGAAAGAGCAAAGTTATTTATTACGTAGCATTTCATTAATATATATAAGTGTAAACGTAAATTATTATTATTATTTACGTTGTTAATTAAAACAATTATAAAGTTATCGTGGTGTACTGTCTTTATCCGACCTTGTTCGATATAGTGGAAATGCCGCAATATGCTACATAGTCTTAATGATCAATCATTCGTTCCCATCAATCCAAGGAGAAACCATTCTGTACTCATTATCATCAGTCAAGTTTAGAATTAAGTGTGCATATAACGAGAGAAACAACCAGGAAGGCAGGTGTAAATTTGAAATAATTCAGGTCGTCAGCGTATTGAAAGGTGTTAATTTTATCGGCCTGAAAGTTATGCAACTGTAGAGAACAAGCCTTTATATAGCTGGGAAGAATGTGAAGAGGTTGTGCGTGAGTGTATACTATTCACTCATATTTTGCACGTTATTTAAAGCATGACTCGGAAAATCTTTCGATGGAAAAGTACGTACAGGACGGAAGGCAACCTTAGATACCTTAGATTATTATTATTATGCCTATTTTTATCTTTTAAAAATAACGATTGTTCTTTTTGAATGGGAAATTTCCGAATGCAAAGCTATGTCATGCTTTGCTCATATTGGCAGTTAATTTGAACCCACGGCTTACGAGCAATTTGTTCCTGTGGACATATTATTAACTCATATTATAGAACTCCTATGCAATGAGCATACTTCTATATTAACAGCTTGGAATCTTTTCGATTCCGCAGCTCAAGCACGGTGAAGATGGAATACCATCATATACTTCAACTCGGCCTGCATCCATCATCATGCTTAGATAACAACCGTAAGGTTCACAGAGGCATTTGAAACACAATCGAAAAGTTTGGAAGAATCCCAGCGAGCTTCTTGTTAATATAATCGTAGGTGCTGGCTGGCTATGAAAAAGAACAATTCATTAACACGCATGTTTGTAGATTCGCGTTCTTGAAAAGCATAGAAACGAGCCGAAGCTATCTTTCAGTGTTCAAGAAATCCATCAGTCCCTGCTTAACCATGAAATCTTATGAACACTGAAATTAAACAAATGAGTCTGAAGTTGCTTAAAACATTGAAGTCTTTATCTACTTTAGGAGCGGGAACCATTTTACTCCATCGCAATTCGAATGGGACGATGTTATTAGACCAGGAATTACTAAGTGCATGCAACACAGCCGAACTTCAGTCTTCCTGCCTGTGTATGTGCATTTTGAATAGTTTACGGGAAGAGCAAAATAGTTGATTTTGTTGGTTTTTCGGAGGGATTTTCCCTTAAATTGGGCTGAACACTAGTGGTAGGGATTTTTTCGGGATTACTCCATGCAGAAACCAACTAGCGGATTTTATTGGTATGTCTGATTTAGCGTTTTTAATAAGTTTATTAACATCGTAGTTCATCGAGAATTTTCAGACTATGCCAAAATTTCCCGTGAAGGTTTAAGAAAGAGTTGGCATGGAGGGCTAGGGGCACAAGCTAGTACAATAGATCTTTTAGGTCGCACACAATTAACAATAGTGGTGTAAAGAAATAATTTTAACAATTTTATGGAAGCATATTGCGCATGCGCATTAACAATCTCAATGTAACAATTTATTTTTAAAAGAAATTTATGTTAAACACCCGCTTTAATTATAATAGTCACTAAAAAGCCTTATTAGAAATACATCACAAGTACGTACTTATCTATGTATATACAAATACATATATATATATTTATAAGTGAGAACATGAAGTACATAAGTAAATAAAAAAAAAAAATTTTTTTCAAACAAAAACATTCAACCAAATTCAAAACCCAAAACATCTTCTAAACTATAATCGAATAAACGAAAATCTTCGGCGTAGATTTCATACAAACGTCGTATGGCGCTTATGCTTAACGGATCAAAATATTTTCGTAATTGTTTACGCGTACTCGACTGTTTGTGGCCAGTGGGAAAGGTGAGATGATCGGCACCTGCCAAGTAAAGCGCTAAAGCGGAGTCATCCAAAAGAGTTTCGAATTTGCCTGAAAGGGTTTCAAAAACTTTTCATTAGTATTTTGCATTAAATTTTTCTTATGACTTACCTAAGAGATTATACTTCATAATACAAGGATTGCATAGCTTAGTTATGGGCTCCCAGTGTTCATTATAGTTTGACTGATTACTTAGACTTAGTTCGGGAGTAAGTAGATATTGTATAAATTCGGCGAAAGTAACATCATCTCCATGCGTTAGTGAATGATTGCTGGGATTAACACGAAAAGCTTTAATTATTTGCCGTCCGATACGTCGCTGAAAGTAGCGTGCACTTGCTGTTCGACCTTCTAATTTATTACGATAGGCGGATAACAAACGCTCAAACGGATGACGTACAATTAGAAAACGTGTATATTCGGAAAATATTTGATTTTTTTCGGTGTCATTTAACGAACTTAAGTTTTTGAATACTCCTTCGGCATGAACTACATGTCCCGGTATTTCCAAGGGATTAGTACCATTATGCCAATCACCATTCATTAGCAATAAGACTCGTTTCCAATTAGTGCAGGCCACCTGCAAAAAAGTTGCCCAGAAATATGCTAATTAATAATGCAAAATTTTTAAGAACATACAACGACATAAGCGAATCGATTCAGCAGGACATAGATAAATCTTTTTGGTTAATTTGATATCCACTTAAAGAAAAGGTTTGGTAAATTAAGAAAATTCATATAAACGAAATCCCGCAAAAAAGGGACGTTCCCGGTCGGCGTAAAACACTTAAAAATTTCCAAACCTGTTCTAAAGTTTTCACGCCACTTTTGTCAAGAAATTTTGAAATTTCCATTTTTTTCAAAATAGGGCATTATAGGGGAAGCAGTCAAGCCAATAGCATTCCCGCTTGGGTCAATACACGTCAACGTACTAAATTTGATCAAAATATCTTAAATGTTCCGACCCGTACTTTGAACACAGATATACATGGACAGACATCAGAGGGACAAACGTAGATCTATGTTAAGCCCTCCTACGTGTCACATAGGTCCGTGCAAACTTACTATACCCTGTACAACAAGGTATAAACAGGTTTTAATTTTTCTGTTCTAAAAATAAAAATGATGGACAACATGGTGTAGGGTATTTGATAGTCGGCCTAGACCGGCTACAATGTTGCAACTTGATTTTACCATAAGGCTGTTTTATACATTCGGCCATGGTCGAAAATAATTTTCTTGCTCCTTTTAACGTAATCTAGTGGTAAAAGAAGAAGAAGAAGAATCGCTTAGTGCGATAGGGCAATTTATTCATTTCTTTTTACTTACAACGATATATTTTCGAAGTACTCTAACCCTCAATCCAAACCGCACAATAATTTCTTTCTATGCATATCATCAAAGGGAGACTTAATTCCGAATTTTTTTCAAAATTTATCAAAAAATTCTTGAAAAATGAAAAAAATATTACTAAGAAAATAAGATTTAGTTTAAACCGAATCTTTCTTCCATTCTTGCCATGTGACTAGTGGAGGTAAGATATATTCTATATGTGATGTGTTACTTAAACCTAACCACACTTAATTGTGATATAATGCATAGTTTAATTGCGATTATATGCAACGCTACGCAAGCCAAAGCATACTAATACGAGCTACTTATGTGATTAGTAAGATTTTGCTTTAATTGTGGGCCCCCGTAAGTGAGTCGGCTGTTTTCCAAAAAAAATACCTTGATAACGTTGTAATAAGTGTTTGTGCCAAAGTTTAAACTGGTACATGCCGCACATGTTAAAATACTGATAAAAATGCATTAGCCATTTTTAAGTTTAGCTTCAAAACTGCATGCTCTGAATTTGCCGCTGATCGCGATAGGTATACAAATACCTGTCCACGATTCGAATCGAGATAAGTACAAAGGGAAATATATTACAAATAATATTCCATTATAACTAAAAATTTAATCTTATCTTTTTTTCCCAGTAAAAATGATTGATTATCTGTTAAAAACTGAATTTACTTTCAAAGCTAAATATTGCAGTGTTTTCAAATAAACATTTCGAAGAAAGGAATTTTGATTTATAGATGGCAGACTGCGTTGAACGCTGCTGTCTGGAAAAGATAGTAAGACTTTTTGATTTAAATCGTATGGGCTTCCACGTTGAACACAATGAATGCATTTCGTGCAGTAAACTCTTTTTAAAATTGTATGACCCTTATGTTCTTACTGAACTTTGTAACATCTTTTTAAAAAATCGTGGCATGGTTGGTTCCGGTTAACAAAAAAAAAAAAAAAAAACAAAAAAATGGAAAACTTGTCGTACTTTTCGACTACAGTAATACATTAAGAACAAGTAAAAACACTATAGTGTACAACGGTTCACCAATACTCATCATCGCCCCAAAGGTATTCATATAAGAACTTTTGAAAATAAAGCATTTTATGTGAATTGGTTGGAAAAGTGATCCGATTCGAATTATTTTCAATGGAGTTCGTCCTTGGGCCAAATAATGTGGATATATCAAGTTTGAATAAAATCTCTTAAAAATTGCGACTTGTAGGTTGAACACAAAAACACACAGACATCAGACGAATGGAAATGATTACGAATCAATCGGTGTAATGGGATGTCCATCTAGCTCAAGTCCGTCTGGCTGTTGCACGTATTCGCATAAACTTTATACACAATACTGAATACAAACTTGTGTCATAAGTGGTGTATGGTATAAAAAACGCGAAATCTTATTTTATTCGTCACATCCGTGCGTATGGCGATTCTCATGATTCGAAATAAATTCTAAAAGTTTGAAGTAGAGAACGAAAGACTTGAAATCGAAAAAAAATGAAGAGGTTCCTATATCTTTCAGGGGATATTGCAAGTGCTGTGTTATACAAATTTCTATTTATTTATTTATCGGTTACATATAAACAATCAACTAATTTTAGGGCAGAAAAGAACAAAAATTTATTTTCACTTTTTACACATGTTAACTATGATGTAGATAGGGGACTAGATATCCGAACTCAGAACAAGAATGATTATTATACACAACTAAAAGATAAAAAAAAGTTCAGTATAAAGTACATACGAGAAAGGCTACGAAATGCATTGCAAAGACAAAGTTGCCGCTTATGTTTTACTATTTCCGATATTTGAAGGAGATAAGCTCGACATTTTTATTGGTAGATTAAAGTTAGTAACATTGCTCTTACCGAAGGAGCAGTGAATGTTCACAGAATTCTTTCAGAGGAATGAAGGCTTTCTACCTATAATGCCTGAATAATTCATGATCATATTACGAAGCTAACCTCGATTATAGGAATAGGGATTAGTCTTTGCGTGTAAAAAGATTTTGATCTAATTTCGCAGTTTTTAGAAATCAGGCAAAAGCATCAGGAAACACGTTGTTGAACACTTCTACGATTTCAAGACTTTCTCTCAAGTGCCTTAACTGAATTCAAGTGACTTTTCTTTATTGCTTTGCTAAGATTTTGATGAACTATCAGAGGCCATAAATTTTTGTTGTCCACATTGTGTGAAAATTTCTTAAAATGGATTTCCAGAGAAGGGAGCAGAGATTTGCCCGCCTATGTCGTTTATAGAAGAAAACAATGTAAACAGCCTTTCATTCTGTTTATATATTTGTTATTTGCCGAACCGGTTAAAGCCGATTGTTCTGTAAGTATTCGATGGAAGGCAATTTCCGTTAAGCGTAGAATATGAACGTTACTTTTAATACTCCCTAGATGGTCGAGAGGCTAATTATTCGATCCAAAGGAATTTCTTATCTCTCGGTTATGATCACAGCCTGGATTATGCGCTTTTTAGACTGCTGCATACTTGCATTGAATATTCTGCGACTGTCAATAAAAATTATTTTTGTTAATTATATATATAATATATATATATAATTAAATCAAATTTTTACATTTTTTGTTTAAATCTTTATAAGCATTTTCTTATAAAAAAAGGCATTTCGTACGTTGAGTAACAATAGAAGCACTTGTAAACAGACCGTCTATTCATATCCGTTGTTTGCTGACATTTGAGCAAAAATATAGTGTGTCAGTCATACAATTCACTTAAATAAAGATGCACAATAATGAGATGACACATGATGCGATGTGCAAATATCAAAATGTGCAAACAGTGAAAACCTTTTCGAAAAAAAAATTCCTATTGTATGGAAACTTATAAGCTGGAGCTGGAGTTGATTTACTATTTCTGAGAGGTTTTACTGTACACAAACTTGTGCATGTAAATTTAATGGCTAATGTGTATATGAAAATGCATTTATAATAATTGATTAAACAAAAAAGTTTTCACCTTGTTTCTATGATGTTATTCTAGAAAAAAAAAAAAAAAAAAATTAAAAAAAGATATTACATCCGATTAGTAGGCTGCATATTTGGATAAGTGCTTCTTGGTTTATTATTATTATTATTTTTTTTTTTTTTCCAAATACACAATTAAATGGGGAAATAGTCTAAACTTGACTTGTATGGAATATCATATGTAAGTCATAGTTCAATAATGCATTCTTGAATCCTTTCCTTTCCACAAGGAAAATGGATTCGCCACATTATACATGGAACTGCATTTCCCTTTCACTCTTATGAGTTGATTTAGGTATAAATGTTGGACATTGTCTTCTTACGTATATAATTCTTTCCTAAAGGCTTAACGGTTTCCTTGAAACTTTATAAAGAAACTCGTATTTGCTCGAGTTAGGTAAAAAGCGAATGACTTTTTTTGGAGTTCTGGCAGAATTCTTGGTATTTTTAAGTCACACTTTTAACGAGGAGGACCAGGAGGACGGTAAACACGATCAAATTAAACAATGAACCACAATTTCAAAAAAAAATTTCTTTTAACTTGTGGAGCTTGCGCCCTACTTAGAAGCACACATATTTTTCATACGAGTAAAGATTTCTTGATTCTCGAAATAATATTTTTCGCTTAATGTAATGTTGGCCTTACCACCGCTTCCAACAAAATGAAAACTTAAACTAAAATTAAAGTCAAAAATTCTGATTAGTGGACAAACATGTGATTTGTGTTCATGTTTTTATGTCTTCCTGGAAATAAATAAGCGCTGAAGGCTGCCCAATTTGGATAAAGTAGAAGTTAAGGCTTTTTCGAGACACATCAAGCTGGCAAAAGCATTGCTCGTTCCATGTTCAAACAGTCAGTTCAGAATATTGAAACACAAAAACTCAAATCGAAGACATTTTTTACATCAATTTTTCAATAAAAATTATACGGTGCTCACTAAATTTTCAATTTTGTTATCAAAATATCATTGATTTGTTGTTGTTTGCGTAAAATTATGCCCTTTGGCGGTTCGAAGAGAGAAAAGGCCAAGCAAAAGCTGCTGCATTCTCTATATTTTACTTTTAAGTAACTGAAAATACTATAGCGGGACATGGTTCCACAACAAAATACTCTGCACTACTTTACTTAATACATCTATTGATATAACGACTTTTAACATAAGTATTTATATGATAAGTGATCGAAAAAGTGGTTCGATCTGACACATGCTCAATTCCTTTAATTCTTTGGGCCAAAGCATGCCT